CAAGAACAAAATACTTAAAGGCCCATTTTCATCCGAGATCCTTTGCAGTCGTTTGTTTTTGTTTTGGAATCGCGCTATTGTTAAATGGCGAACTCTGATAGTCATTCACAAACACTATTAAAAAGAAAAACAAAGATTTGGTGAAGAACACAGTAAACAAATTTGCAGCTAAATATTTGAGACTGAAAAATCATAAATCGAGTCTGTGTATAAAACTTGTACAAAGCTTACTTGATGTTGAAGGAAATTGTTCGGCTTCAACACTAAATAAAATATAAACAAATAACCAATATTGGCCAAAACTGATTTACTTTACGCATTTCAATTATAGAATAATGACTTGTACAAATGAGATCGCTTACATACATATCTCAGGATCTCAAGTAAAAATCAGTCAAATAATTATTCTCACCTCGAAAAAATCTCCCCGGAGTCTCTAGTTCCATCGTAGGAACAATGCAATAACATTTCTGCAAAAGCACTGTCTGTAGTGTTACTGAAACCCATTGTTGTTTTCCTTGCCCTCCATAAGTCATACACAGACTCTCGAAGTCGAATAACCTTTGCCGAGCCGGGCAGACCCGGCCTTCCTCTAGACCGCTTCTTCGGCGGCATCAACTTTTCAAATGACATTTTTCACCGTCATACATGTAAGAATGAAAAACTATTTACTGATATGGATACTACGATAGCTTGTTGTTCGCACATGATTCAAGATGGAACTTTGAAAGCCTTAATTAGTAAGATGGAAGAAGATATCAAAGCGATTCCGCAACTTCGAGGAAAATAGCGTATTTTTCATATATGAAAAATGATCTGGGCTTGCAAGGGATCTCGGTTGAAAATGGGCCTTTAACTGGGAAATTTTTGCCTAACAGGCTCCTAAACTTTAGGTTCTTGTAAGTGGGTTTTTACCATATTTGGAAATAATTTCAATATTTGACAGTGAAATTTTGTCATGGCACTTCAAGGTCTGTGACAAAAAATATGACTTTGTAACACACAACAAGGGGTCAAGACAAGTGTAACCAAATAAAATGTAGATAACTTAACCTTTTTAAGTCAAGGTAAATTATACAAAAACAAAAGGGAAACAAAACTACACATCAAGTACTTTTGGGAATTAATGTCTTCAAAACTTGGCACAAACCAACTACAGTTAACTGTACCATGAAATAGATGAAAACCAAGGGTCTGGCGAGTTTTTCACAAGGAGAAAGAATTAATTACCTTGAGAATCAACTTAAGCTTGAAAGTGCTCTGAAAGCACTATCAAGCTTAAGAGGGTGCATTTGAGAACAGACAATAATAGTGATCAGCAACAAAAAAACCTTGTAACTTGCAGAAACCATGCGACTAGAACCACAGCAGTAACAAAGCCCCTTTTATTTACATAAATCAGCTTATGTGGGCATTTCCTCCCGTCCACATGCTCTTGATTCTGGTCAAGATCCCTCACAGAGAAGAGGGGGAGAATGGGTGATGAGAAAATTTCTTCTTTATCAATTGTCTTTGTATAATTGTTTCAGTGTTGTTAAAGAAACTGCAATGTTTTTCACAGCTGGAATTGTCGTCTCAGGGTTTGGTGAGTTCATTTTGTTGCTAAGTAGTTAGCCCAAAACCTCACTAAGAGGAACGTAGTTTTGAATTGACATAAAGAAAAATTACACGTATTAAGTTTCATAAATAGAAGTTTAAAATGCTTATGAAGATCTGCTTCTGATTTGTCTTCAGGTCTTCCAATAGTTCTGGCACGTACTAAAATTGTGAGTAGTATTGTATATACTGGTCTTAGGCTGTGTAATGTCTACAGTTATCACATATAGCGACTGATTTCTTACATTTTCTTTAATTTGTAATGGTCCCTTTTGCCTTGATTCAAGTCATTGCAGAAATAATTGAAAATGTTGAAATCCATAACCTTTAGTTTGATACTTCCTGTCTGCGTTATTGACAGTCAGATACCTAAAACTCACTCACCTTTGGTTTTCTGCATTGTCCAACCCTTTTGGAGTTGAAAAATAATGTGCTGTTACTTTTGGATAGATTTTAAGTTCTGGGCTGAGTCCTTTTGCTGACAGACCTTACCCCCCCCCCCTTGCTGAAGCAGGAGACACTTGGAGTACCTCTTCCGCCCCCCTGAATGGGATCTTAGTTCATCACAACACCTCCTTACTAAGTCCAACCTGCCCTCCACACCCTCCTACCCCATTTTTTTAACTTCATGACAGTTTGCCAATACCCAGTCTATTTCCTTGTCGGGGAGAGTTAAGGTTTTTGGAATACTTTTTTTTCTTCTAAAAAACCAAACAAAGTTTCCCTGATCAGGGCTCCTCAAGACCTTTTTCATTCAAAGTCCATTAACCAGTAAGCCTCCCTCCAAATTTAAGTCCCTGGTGAAAGTCTGTTTTTGCTTATTAGAGTTTCTCTTCCATTTAGATCAAATGGGGAGCTATGGCATTAGTGTCATCCGGAAATGTCTTCATCTTTTTTACAATTCTGGCCTATTTTCTTGTTTTCACTGGTGAAGATGACTGGGGCTTTTGAAGAGACACCAGCTCTACATGTCTCATTTTTTAAGTGTATAAATTATCATATTACAAGGCTGAGCTCTAAGAAAAATTGAAGGGAGTCCAGTGTTCTGAAACTGTGAAATCCAAGGTGCCCAGCATATGCTTTTTATTGAAAAACTAAGATTCCCAAGTTTCCAAAGAGCAAAAGTAAGGTGGCAGGGGACAGCTGGGTGCTGCTAGAGCACAGCCCTGAATTATCATTTTGTACAGAATGATTGAGTTTTGTGGAAAATTTAACTTTTTGATATTATCAGAACCATCTTCTGAAATGTTTCTGGCCCTAAAAAGGGAACTTCCACAGTAGAATTGGATGTACAGTTTTTGTTGAAATTGATATAAGCAAGTGGGTTAGTACTGATAGTGTTAGAATGACAATTGTTAATACCATTATGGAAGATTATTTTGCCTAAGCTGGTTCTTTAAAGAGAGGGAAAAAGGAAGAAATTGAATTTAAGTGACATCCATAAAATGGCCTATAGAGTCCCTGACAAAAAATGGCAACATCACCCTCCCAACCCTAACAAAAAATGGCAATATTACCCTCCCAACCCTTATCCTGAAGTCCCCTCACTATTGTCATTGGGTCATGGGGGTGAAACTTCTTTGCAAGTGTGCTATGTGTAAGAAGTGACTGGTTTCCTTTGAAGCAGAAAGAGTGTGCAAATAGTGCTAAATTTTAAAATTACTTTTAAGTGATTAAAGGTCTTTTATACAAATATAATGATTGTGTTATTTAATACTGTACCGTTAAATGAAAGTTTTCAGGATAAATCTGTTTCAATTTTTTTTTTTTGTTTTTTTTTTTTAATTTCAATTTCAACCTCAAAAATACTATTTGCACTTATTTTGAACCTTGTATGGGCATTTCCATACACACTCCTAAACTAAACTCCCAATGTGGGTGACATCTAACTTCTCCTCGTAATGCCTCATCTATACAACCGTAGGAGTAGCTGTAGCAGTAGCCACACCTGTATGAGTAGTAGCAGAAGCAGCACCAGCAACCATAGCAATAGCAATAGAAGTAGCAGTAGCAGTACACATAGGAGTACCGAAGCAGAAATAGTATCATCACTGAGTCGCAGCACCCGTGGGAGGTGCAGTAGCAGAATCAGTAACTTGCAAACTCAGTTAATTTTACTTTAAGTGCTTTCTCCAAAACTGATCTGTTCTAGAGAACTCAACCCTTTACTCCAGCGGATTGTGTCGAGCAATTTTGTTAGCTCAGATCAATATAGCAAAGGTAATTACAAGCCATGTGGGAGGCACTTAGGGTTTCTCTTCTCTTTCTCTTACATGGATATCATTATTTCAGGTTGGTAATTTACTAGTTCTCAGATGGATTGATGAATGAATTTGTTTTCATTCCCAGTTTCAATATATATCTATAAATCTATTTTGGATGATTATTTAATGAATTCATTTGTTTACTCATTTATTTACTGATAAACGTGTATCCACACGTTTTTTGCGTTTATCCGGTTGGAGGACACGAACTCTTGCTTGATATTCGATTTCGCAATGAATGATTGTTCACCACACTTCCTCACTGCTTCCACCTTTCCAATTTTGATAGACATCAGCGGCTAATTTCGGAAAGCAAAATATCTAAAATGAGCCTGACATCGAACAAGAGTTACAAACGCAATCGAAGTCAAATCGTCGAGTGCTAGGAAAAAAAACTGGTTTGCTGGAAAGTTGTAAGATTAAGGGAGAAATGTGAAACTCCAAAGCGATAAACAAAAAGTGATCCTGTTGGTAACCGGTCAAGTCGCCCGAAGGTCATCTCGCCCGAAGTCATGTTGCCCGAAACTCAGTCATGTTGCCCGATATTTTGAGTCCTGTCGCCCGAACTTTTATCGAGTGTTTAAACTTGAAGAAGAGTAACATCTTAAGTAAATCGTAAGGAATAAACTCGTAAAATGTTGACTCGTAAACTGTTTTGGTCCGCTAACCTACGAGAGACTCAAATACCGCTGTTCATCAGTTTCAGCGTTGTTCGTTGCTCTGAGCTAAACTGCTCATTCTACAGTACTGGTTCTAGTAATTATAAGCGGAACTCTGTCAGTAAACTTTTCAGTAAAGAAAACTAATATCTTAAGTAAAGTGCAAGGAATAACCTCGTAAAATGTTGGACTCGTAAACTGTTTTCGTCCGCTAACCTATGCAAATAAGAAGTTCAAGAAAGACTCAAATATCGCTGTTCATTTCAGCGTTGTTCAGTCGTTGCTATCAACCAAACTGATCATTACTGTGGCCCAGAAGGCTCAACGCAAACAAAAAATATACTGCAGCAAATAAAAAATATACTGCAGCAAATAAAAAATTTGCTGCAGCAAATAAAAAATATACTGCATCAAATAAAAAAATCAAAACGCAAAGAAAAACTGTACGCAGCAAATAATAAAATGCACCGCAAACAAAAATACTGCAGCAAATAAACTATGCAACGCAAACAAAAAAAAAAAATTGGAACGCAACGCCAAGGAAGACTGGGTAATAGTTCTTAGTTTCGCGCCAACACTCGTTTCATCCTTTGCTTGTTCGCCTTTCCGAAACCATGTTCTGCAGCGAACTTATGACAGTACTAGTACCATGCTGCTACTTTAAAAAATCGATGATAACTCTATTTTCATACCCTTGATGAAAGCAATTTTCTATAATCCTCCGCTGATCGCTTTCGTCCATAACCAAAAGCGAGTTCCAGTTCATGCTGTTTTGGCGCGAAACTAAGAACTATTACCCAGTCTTCCTTGGCGTTGCGTTCCAACTTTTTTTGTTTGCGTTTTCTTTTTTTTTGTTTGCGTTGCATATTTTATTTGCTGCAGTAGTTTTTGTTTGCGTTGCATTTTTTTATTTGCTGCGGTACTTTTTTTCTTTGCGTTATGATTTTTTTTATTTGCTGAAGTATATTTTTATTTGCTCAAATATATTTTTTATTTGCTGCAGTATATTTTTTATTTGCTGCAGTATATTTTTCACACATATGTTTCATATGTTTGTTGTTAGTATATTTTTTGTTTGCGTTGAGCCTTCTGGGCCACTGTAGATCATTCTACAGTACAGATTCTAGTAATTATAAGCGGAACACTTTCAGTAATCAGAATTTTTCACACATATGAGAAAAATACATCAAGTTCTCTTAGTTTGATTCATCGTATAAAAAAACAACCTGAAACTCTTACAGCGGTTTTTTGTTGTCTGTTGTTTTTGTTTTTGTTTTTGTTTTTGTTGTTTTTGTTTTTCTGTTGTTTTTGTTGTCTGTTTTTGTTTTTTGTTGTTGATGTTTCTTGTTGTTTTGTTGTTTTTTGTTGTCGGTTTTTTTTTTGTCTTTATTTACAAAGCGTGTCAGCATCATTCCCCTTAGGATCAGACGGGGCATAAATTATCGCGACTTGTTCAGTCCATAGTTAATCGGTCGAATATAAATTTGATCCGTATTACCATATATAAAGAGAGTAAATAAATAACAGCCACCTTACTCCGACTTGTAAAATGTTTTCGTCCGCTAACCCGCTATACAAATAAGAAGTTAAAGATAGACTCGCATATCGCTGTTCATTACAGCGTTGTTCAGTCGTTGCTATGAACTAAACTGATCATTCTACAGCACAGATTCTTGTAATTATTAGCGGAACACTTTCAATTATCAGTATTTTTGACACATATCAGAAAAATACATCAAGTTCTCTTAGTTTGAATTCACCGCAACGTCACAATCTTGCTTGGCAAGCATGTGATGATTCTTGAGCACGTGCTGTATTCAAGATGGCGGTGTTTTCCAATGTTCCAATCGTAGTGATGTGAACCTTCGTTAGAAACAGAATGCTTCCACATATAAAACAACAACAGTGAGAACCATACTGTAACTGATATTACTATTTTTTTTTTCGTTCTCGTGTTTTATTTGTAGGACTATCTCCGTGATATCAAACGACAGCGAAACGAACAACCTGAGTTTAACGAGTCAACATTTTACGAGTTTATTCCTTGCCATTTACTTAAGATGTTACTGTTCTTCAAGTTTAAACACTCGATAAAAGTTCGGGCGACATGACTTAGGATTTCGGGCGACATGACCATGAATTTCGGGCAACATGACTCTAGTTTCGGGCGACATGACTTCGGGCGAGATGACTTTCGAACGACTTGACCGTAAACCATCCTGCTTCTTAGAAACATTTTGAAAAGGTCACGCAGCATTCAAAGATCTGAATATCAAAGACCAAATGCTGTCATAAGGGCCTTCAACTCTTACAAAAAAATTCATAAGCGTAAAACGGCTGAGAATCAGTTAACAAAACAAAATTTACCAAAACAATACTGGGGACCAATGAGTGATTTTTGGAAAACAGGCTACCATTTTGGTCGTAAGGGTACACCACCCCAGCGACAAGGAAGGATATTTTGTTTCGAGGATTTCCCAGCATGTCTGTGTGTTTGTTGACTACAACCCAGACGAAACTCGATCTTAGGCCCGGTTCAGACGCCGATCTATTCATGAGCCGAACCTAATTCCTTGAATTAAGTACATGAAAAGATCGGCGTCCGAATCATATTGGAATGGCTATTTCAATTTGGAACGGCTCAGCCGTCCTTCCCGCCTGGCTTAATAGCCGAGAATTTCGCCTTTGGAACGCCTTTGGATCGGCTTTAATTCAGACGCCGCACTTTTCATGTGCCGATCCTAATGCATAAATTGTTATAATGTATTTTGCAAGCAGTATGAGTGGTTTTACTGGAACTGTACTTGCAACGGCCAAACATAACGGTGTCTGAATCAATGGGCGTACTTTTTTGTTAATTTGGGTGGGTCCGAATTCGAATTGAGTTCGGCTCATGAAAAGTTCGGCGTCTGAACCGGAGACAACCGTCTGCTCGAGTCAACGAGTCACGCAATGGTCGCGCACCGAAAGAATCGTTTTAATCGTTTTATTCCACGTTGATATTGTGGTAAAATACAAAGAGACATTGCTTTAGCGTGGTCTGTACTCTTTTCGATAACGATATCCGTCATAACAGTGGTCAAGATGTTGTGGACTCACTCGGCTGCGTTTCCGGAGTCCGCAACAAATTTCAGTTGACCATTGAGGTAGTTTAGTTTAGTTTAGTT